AATGAAAACCACAGTGAATATCATCAGGAAATAGAAAATGGAGGCTTTACGCCTCCACAATTAAATAAATCCTCATGTATGTAGGGAACACATATTTCAGCAGGAAATTCTTAAGTAACAGTGATTTGTAAAATGTATACATGACTACAGGGCATCTGAGATACACACGCAAGCCTTTGAAAAGCAGGCTGTGGGGCTTGCTGAGATTTCGAGACATATTTGGCCATCTGAACGCATTTGGGCTGTGGACCACGACCTCACTCAAATGTTATCTCATGAAACTCTCTTGGTGTCCAATTCATCAAATTCAAATTCTTGGGTATTTATTTCAGAAGTAGATTTCATTGTTTAATGATTCTTGTCTTTCATCAGTTCAGATATTATTACATTTGCAATTCTTGGGATATGCTAACTTTTTGGGGGGAGGGTTGGATAGCTATTAATGGTTTTCTCTGGGTAGAATTAACTCCTTCATTTCCAAATTGGTATTTCTCATTCCAAACAGGTTCTTCTATGAAAACAACAACAACAAAACCTTGTATTGTGCCTCTGTCATTTATAAAGTTGCTTAAGAACAACTGAATTAATAGTTACATTGCAAGAGCAGGTATGACCATAAATTACTTAAAAATTGATTCTATTTTCAAACTTTATAGTAATAAAAAGAAGAGATAACATTGCAAGTCATATATTACCATCCTTGTAAAAGTTGTGAGAAGCCAATAATGACTAATTCTGTATTAGTTAGCTAATGGTATTGTACAACCAAACATCTAGCAGAATAAAAATGAGTCCATATGTGTACAAAACCATCAACTCTTTATCCTAAGTACCATTAGTAAATATAGAGTCCCAAATGCAGTCTTTGGATAAGGCTCTTAAAAACAAAACAAAACAAAAAAACAAAAATCCACACCAGAATGAACATTTTAAGTGCACAGCTATTACAAACTCATTTGATATTCGTTTTAATTGCCGTGACTACAATGAATATGCTTTACGTTCACAGATGTCACAAGTAGCACTGCAGAAGTTCCAATATAATTCAGTCTTAGTTAAGAATGACAAATGGATATTTAAAATGAAATGCTACCAGGAAACAAACCGATTACAGCAACATCAGCTCCCTAAAAAACAGCAAATTAGCCCTGGCTGGTTTGGCTCAGCGGTTAGAGCGTTGGCCTGTGGACCAGAGAGACCTGGGTTCGGTTCCCGCTAAGGGCATGTACCTCGGCTGCAGTTTGTCCCCGGCCCTGGTTGGGTCGTGTGGGTGGCAGCCACTTGACGTGTACCTTTCACGTCGATGTTTCTCTCTCTCTCTCTTCCTCTCTCTCCCTCCTGCTCTATGTGAACAAAAAATGAAAAAATGTCCTCGAGTGAGGATAAAAAAACAAACAAAAAAAACCCCAAACAGCAAATTAAAGACTTTTATTAAATTGTGTTCTTATCTGGACATATCCAGATCACAGTAACACAGGAAAACCTGCTATATCAACGAGTCCTTTTCCTGGCCTCAGCTGGTTAGTTAGCCTAGATCACACTAATTGGGCGTGTGAGAAATGACCCCGAAGTCCAGGCTGAAGTTCACTTTTCAGGGTTCAGAGTCCGGCCTGTGCAGAAGGTTTAAGACGTGCCACCAGGCCAATGTGTTTTAGCAGAAGGAACAGATAACTATGCGTGCCATCTTATTCCAACGGGTCAGACAAGTTCTCACATCCCCTTTAATTTTCTCCCACAGGGATGACCGTCCCTTGAAAATCCAACGTGAGAAGCCTTTGGGGCCCGAAATGGAAGGCGGTGTTCCCCAGTGTGTCCTTTGGATTTCAGCCGGGGCTGTTTGTTGAAAGCCAACATTCATGGGCCCCAAACAAGTCCTAGCAAATCAGAGTTCTAGCAGCCAGCACTTTGACAAGTCACCTAAAAACGCTGACGAACACACGTGTTTATAAACAACTGCCTGGCCCAGGCTGGGTGGCTCAGTTGGTCGAAACGTCCTTCCACACACCCTAAGAGGTCTCGGGTTTGATCCCTGATTGGGGCATGTACGGAGTCAGTGGATCGATGTTTCTCTCTCACATCAATGTTTCTCTCTCTCTCTCTCTCAAATCCATAATCATATCCTTGGGTAAGGATATAAATAATAATAGTAGTAATAATAATAATCATAATAATAGAAACAACTGCCTGAAGGTTGAATGGGGTAATATTTAAAACTGTATCTTTTTCATTTCATTCCAATCTGTAAATATTTATGAGTTACCCAGGCTAGGTGAGTGAAAATGTGATACATAGATGGTGTCCAAAAAGCGAAGAAGCACACGATGAATGGGTTGCCGTGGTAAATTTATGAAGTACGACCCTAACCGACAAGTGTCGAGAGACAATGCCTGAAAATCTGGAAATGCAAAGAAAACAGTGTGTTTATGGTGCAGGTGAAAAAAAAGGCGCTCTTCATTCGGTTTAGCCGTTCTTCCCCTGAAAAGGTGTCTTGAAGCTAACGTTGTCTTTAGCTTATTATCAGAAACATAAGAGAAGCATTGCTTAAAAGCAGATGTATCCTCTTCTTCAGATGTTTGGGACACCCCGTGATTGGAAAAGGAGGGTGGCAGTGTGTGACCCTGCTCAGCGCCTGGGGGGCAAGGACAGAGGGTCTCAGTGAGGGGAGAGAGAATGAACTGCAAGACCAAAGCACAAAAGGCAAATTGCTCTTCTTACCTCCTACCTCATTGCCCTGGTGCCTGGACTGTAAGTTAAACTCGTTTAGAAGTTGCATCGTGTGTGTGTGTGTGTGTGTGTGTGTGTGCGCGCGTGTGTGTGTGTGTGCGCGTTTAAACCACCAGAGCAAAATGGAAAAAGTCGCCTTTGGCGTTTACTAGAAGAAGGGGAGAAAATAGAGCGGATGGGACCAAGTTATTTTTCTGGTCGGCCATCTCTCCTTAGCCTCATCCTCGCCCCAGAATCGGAGACCGATGGACGGAAACCTTGGGATAAATGTCAGTAAGGAGCCCTCACTCATCAAACTGAGTGCAGACGACCTGATGAGAGTCATTCATTGTGCCCCGTGCGCTAGCTTTTCATAGTCCTCGGACGACTTTCCTCAGCACCGGAAGAGGACCAACGTCGCTCGTCCAGCGCTATCGGCATCGCTCAGCAACTCCCTGCACAGTCTGCTGGGGCTGCCTTCACAGAACCCCACAGGCTCTGGCTTAACGGGACATTGCTTTCACAGGGCTGGGGGCTGAAGCCCAAGGTCAAGGTGCTGGTTTCTCAGGAGAGCCCTCTTGCTGGCCTGACTGTCCTGACACGGTGGAGAGGGAGGGTGAGCTCCCTCTTGCCCTGCATATAAGGCCACCAATCCAAACAGCTTAGGGACCCAGACTTATGGCCTCCTGTTGAAGGATCTCCTGATGGATCTCTGCACCGGCTCTGATACAGCCACAGGGGGGTGGGGGCCTCACCATTTGAATTGGGGGCGGGGCCCAAGCCAGTCCACAGCACTCCTTACAAATGAGCCTTCCCAAGTCGCACCTCAGACCTGGGATCAGAGCCTCGGGAATGGGCCCAGTGGCTGGTTTTATTCGGCTCTCCAGGTTCTTCTAACGCCGGGCACATCCCCAGAAGCCCTGGCCTCCGGCACGAAGTCCCAACTCTGCAGCGGGGCGTCTCGCGTCCTCCAGTTCTGCCCCAACCCGTTTCCGACCGCCCTTGGTCAGGGACACTGCCTCCCGCCGCGGCCCGGGGTCCCTCGCCTTCCGTCTGGGCTCTCGCTCACCGACCTCCAGCCCCTCTGCCTCTGGGGGAAGCATCAGCACGTCCCAGCCACGACGCCCCAAGCAGCAGACGCCCCCATGGCGGGGACCAGCCCTGTCCCTGTTCTGCAGGTGCTGCCTTCCCGGAGCCCACAGGCTGCTCCCGGCGGTCACCTTCGCACGGGGCTTGGACGTACAGAACCCTCACACCTTCACGACAGGGGCACTGTCTGGTTTATGACCCCTCTGTAAGCGACTCCTTACCGCACCGGCTCGGTCACAACCTGACCACTGAGCCGTCCGCTGGTCTCCGACCTGGCGCCACTTCCAAAGTCACTTAATATTCAAAAAAGTAATCAATATGCTATTTGCTGTTTGTTAAGTCCCTGAGTGCATCGAACCCTCTACAAGCACTTGGTATATTACTTCATTACATTCTCACAGTCACCCTGAAATGAGCATTACGATCCCCGTATGACCGAAGAGATGCTGGACACCAAGGCACAGCTCAGGGAACTCCCCTGAGCTCAGGGAACTCCCCCGAGGTCACACCGCCGGGGCGTGGCCAGGCCGAGGGCTGTTTCTCTGACTCCAAGCAGATCCTTTATTCCCACGGCTACGCCGCAGATGGGGACCCTGTCTCCTGTCTACGCGTTGAATAGACTGCCAGGAACCCCAGGACAGACGGCTTTTGCAGTAAAGGTATATCCAGTACGACCTTTGAAAACTATTTGCTATATACCCCTAACATCCATCCCCCCCACCCACCCCAAAACATCGCTACAAGTCAGCCATAACGGAAAAGAAATTAGGTTGAACTTGAGACAAACCGAACCAATCAACACCTCAGACACACAGAGCTCCCAGCTCTACTCTGTACACTCCTTACCTGCACCCGATAGGGGGCGTCCATGTCTACACTGAAGATGACGGAGGAACCCAAAGGCAATGACCTCAAGCTTCACAAAGAGCCTCATAAACCTGCCCCAAACAACTACTGACAATTATGCACCAAAACACACTCAAGACAATGGAAAATCTGTAACTAGAAAACAATAGTATATATAGTTTTTAAAAATCATACTTTCTTGGCTTCCTTCCGCAGCAAACCACCAATCATTCAATTTCACTTTTCCACAGCTGCCGGCCCGCCCCACACCGGGCTAACCAGCCACACCTGCTGGATGGTTTGGGCCAGTCCAAGCACCAGCTGGGACCGTCCTTAGAAGCAGTGCTGCGCACGCAGCCTACCTGGGGTGTTCAGCAGCCTGGACATCTTGCAGAAGTAGGAGACGTACTGCTCGCAGTACTCGGCGCTGCTGGTGATGGCGCTGATCTGGTCCGTGGAGGCGCTGTAGGTGAGCTGGGTCACCGAGTACTTCTCCGGGTGGTAGCCCACCACCGTCGTCTGCATCTGCAGGTCGTGAGACACGATGGTCCACACCTTGTCCTCTGTGGAGAGAAAGATGCCACCGCGGGGGTTATTAGGATGCAAATACTCCCTCCAGTCCCAGGAAACAACTGAGTTACACAAACTGGCGTTTTACCTGAGCTGATGGAGAGCAGAGTTAAGGAGAGTAATTCTTAAAGTGACCCTGACCCCTTCCTCACACCTACGTTCTCTTTGCACAGACAAAGCAGGGAAGGAATTTTTTATTAAATGAAAAACAAACACAAGATACTTCCTGCAAATGAAAAGGACCAGCCCGCGCACCTGGCTGATGCTCCGTCACCAGCGTGGACAGTGAGGCCCACGCGTCTCTCCCCCTGACGCTGGGACCGTCGCCCCCGGGAGAACACACCTGCTCCTCCCTAAAGGCGCTCGGCTCTCGCCAGCCCCCGTCTCCTTCCCCGCTGTTTGCTTGGAATCTGCGTCCTCATCGGGTCGGCCCGTGTTCTTTTCAGCCCGACCTTTCGGGTGACCGTAGACACGGCAGCGTGGGTTCCTGAAATGCTCCACCCGGGAGCTTCTGGGCATGGCCGTGGTGTCCTGCGCCCTGACAGCCTCCGCGCGTGGAAAGCAGAGGCAGAGGAGAGGGGCGTGGTTCACCCCGTGTGCTCTCAGCCACGTGGCCAAGGTTCTGCTGCTCTGCTCAGAGCCTCGCGTGGCAGTGGGCCTTGCTCCGGTGGAAGTCGAGGTCTTACGAAGCTGAAGACCCTCCAGGGTTCAAGCCAACCTGCTCTAGCGGCTCTGCGCCCCCTGGCTCCTTTGGGTTCAGCCACACTGACCTCAGTGTGCTCCTCCAATACTCAGGGCAGGGCCCTCCTCAGCGCCTTCCCCTCGGTCCTTCCGGTCTACACCCCCAGCCCTCGCTGAGCGCCCCCCCCCCCCGCCGCTTTCCATCTCCGCGCCCTGCTGTCTTCCTCACAGCGTGGATCTCAGCTGACCTAGTGCAGCTCTGCACTGCCTTTCCTGTTCTCGTTGTTTTGTCCGTCTCCCCACGTCAGGAGAGAAAGCAGACTTGTTCTCTGCCGTGCGCACAGGGCTCAGCACGAGACCCGCACCCCCGGCCCCCACAGGTATTGGAGGAGCAGGAGGAGTGAGGAGTGAATATCGGACCGTCTTCAAACCACGTCGGTTCACTTCTGGCTCTGCCCTGATGAGCCGGACAGGTCTGGACAGCCTCCTCTGGGCAGCATGTCCCTTTATCTGTGACAGGAAGACCCCCCGCTGGCTCGAGACGTGTTTTATGGGAGAGTTGTTTCTCCGGTGTGACCCGTGGCCGGATGCAGCAAAGCGGCCAGAACACATCTCAGTAATCCTGTCCCTTTCGGGCACCGTTCTGACACCAAACTGCTCGTCACTTCTATCCAAGCCTGCAGATGTCCCTTCACCTAATGGAAGATCCGTTAATTAAATTAGGTGACTTGTATCTCTTTTCGGTTACAATCAGCCTTTGGCATAGAATCTTCAGATTCTACGTCTTCTTTTTAAAACGCCTCACCAGTAGCCTTGCCCTGTAGCAGTACTTTAGAAATCTCCTCCTCTGACTGGTGCTGGAACAGCATTCTGAGCCGACCCTTCTTGAAAGGATAATAAACCCCTTTTTGATACACACAAAATAATGTCCATAAAGGGAAACATTGATTGAGCAAGTGAAACAAAATGGTCATCCATGCATGTTCTCTGTCAATAACTGTGAAGACATTCATCGCTACGTTAATACTGACGAGTTTCTAATATTTTGGCCGTAGTGACTTCTTGGCCCCAGACAAGCTTTTGTTCCCCTCCCCACCCACGTTTCAGTACCAGCTTCCCGGGCACCAGCTTCTCTACACAGCTGACCCGTGAACAGAACGGGGGTTAGGGGTGGCGACCCCTGTGCCATCGAAAATCTATGCATAACTCTTGATGCCCCCCAGATGTAACTACTAATAGCCTACTCTTGACCGGAGCCTCACTGGTAACATAAACAGTTGATTCACACATATGTTATATGGGTATCTGCTGTCTTCTTACAATAACGTAAGCTAGCGAAGAGGGTTCCTAAGAAAATCATAGATAAGAGAAAAGGCAGTTCCAGGACTTGTTGGGAAACTTCCACGCAGAGGTGAACCCACACGGTCCAAACCCTCGTTCATGGGTTACCTACATTTGCTGTATAGCCCACCCATTCAGTCACTATTGAGTCCCTACTGTATGGTAGGTAGGGATCTAGACCCCAGGAAACCACCGAGTAGAAAACACCAATCAGAAAGAATATATGTACCCCCATGTTCGTAGCAGCACTATTTACAATCTCTAAGATCTGGAAACAGCCCAAGTGCCCATCAGTAGACGAATGGATCAAAAAGCTGTGGTACATATACACAATGGAGCACTATGCAGCTGTAAGAAAGAAAGATCTCTTATCCTTTGAGACGACATGGAGGGACCTGGAAAGTATCATCCTAAGCGAAACAAGCCAAACAGAGAAAGACAAGTTTCATATGATCTCACTTATTTGTGGAATATAATGAACATAACAGTCTGAGGAATGGGGTAGTCCCAGAGACGCGAAAGTGGGGTACAGACTGACCATCCCCTAAGGAGGGGGGTGGTGGGGGAGAGATAAACCACAGAACTTATATGCATGTATGCATGAACAGTGGACATGGACAACAAACTGGGGAAAGGGCAGGGAGGGAGGGGGAGGGGGGAATCAGTGGGGGGAAAAAGGAGAAACATCTGTAACAAAAACTAATTAATAAAAAAAAAAAAGAAAGAAAACACTCATACACTTTTGCAGCTCACATTTTCATATTCTGGGGGGCAAGAGCTCGTTGGGGAGTGATAATGGCTAGGAGGAAAGCTGACTCAGGGAAGGGAACGATTGACCGTATGGATGGCGAGTGCATTTTCTAACACAGAGAATGCATCACATTTAAACGGAAAAGGCCATCATCCAGCAAGCCACGTGACCGGGGCAAAGGATTCCATATGCAGGGAATGCACATGCAAATATTCTAACTGGGGTATTCCTGGCACCGTTCAGGTACACGAGCAGGCTCGTGAGGGAGGGAGGAAGTGACAACGGCGTTGAGGTTGGAGATGTGGTGGAGATGGTGGGTGTGGCCTCAAGGAAGAAGGTGACCTGCCGGTGCGGGGGGGGGGGGGGGGGGGGGGGCGCGCGAGCAGCACGCTCTACCTTATTAGCTGACGTACGACTCTTGGCATCCATACAATTTCTACTTTAGAGACGTTTGGAAGAAAACATACATGAATCTTTATAAACATGTCAAACTTTCTGGTGTCATGGCATTACAGAAAGTGATACGTAAGCCCAAGTGGATGGCATCACACAAGTACTATTGATGCTCCTCGCAAATGATTTTGTAATGCTGGCCCTATGACACGTTGAAATGATTCTCTGGAGCCATTAAATCGTAAGTGACAAAGGGCTATTAACAATTTTGCAAGTACCAAGCATCTAGAAGAAAGAAGGTGGTTATGGCGGATAGACGGTCCTTCCCTAGTATCGCAGTAGACAAATGAAGACTCATTCCCATAGTTGCAGTGTGCTTACAGGATCTGCATCATCAGGCACGTGTGCAATGCACTTAGGAACTTCTGTCTGTGCCACATTCTAAGTGTCTGTCACAAGCAATTGACAAAGGAGTGTATTTCAAATACTCTCTTCGGATTTGTGTGTTATGAAAATGCCCTTCGTAATTGCTGAGAGCTCTCTATCTATCTCATGAAGTCACATATTTAAAAACTGTCACCCTGTGCCCTGGCCAGGTGGCTCAGTTGGTTGGAGCATCATCCTGTGCACCAAAAGGTTGTGGATTTGATGCCTGGTCAGGGCACATGCCTAGACTGTGCGTTTGATCCCCAGCCAGGGCGATACAGGAGGCAACCAACTGATGTTTCTCTCTCACATCCATGTTTCTCTCTCCCCTCTTTCTCTCTCTCTAAAATCAATAAAAGCACATCGTCGGTGAGGATTAAAAAGAAACAACTGTCACACTGCATATTGTTTTAACTACAGCTGATCTAATTTTTCAAATACCGGGACACGTATCGCACATTTCGTGAATGCGTCCCTCTCCTCGGCAATACTGTGGGTCCTCGAGATCACCCCGTTGAGTTATGTTGACATGAGTCCCTTAGAAAGATCCCTCTGCTACCTATTTACCTGTGACTCCATGTGCGCCTCCTATCTGTAATTCTCAAGTAATTCACTTCATGAGAACTCAGTTCCTCGCATGGCTGGAGTTCGGACCAGGGACTGATAGAGCCAGAGAGTGACCAGGGAGAAAAGGCAGAGAACCCTTCCAGGACAGAAGCGGTTTCTAACCCCGTCTACGCTGTTCTTTGACTGTGTATCATGTTATCCACGCAGCATCTGAGGTCACATGACAGAGCAGGTCTGTGCACAGGGCATCTGAATACAAGGCCGATCTGAGCTCAGTGCAGGGCGGAAATGTTCTGTGTCTCAGCATCGGCACAGGGAGGGGCATGTTTTTGCTTTGCTGACATCACTGTAGGGTTAATGCCCACTTTGGTCATCGGAGAGCTTTCTTCACCTTCAGGCATTGGAAATCGGAAATAATCTTTAAAGAGAAGAGAATATTATAGCATAAACTACCTGCATTTAAAATGGTATGTAAACCTTGTTTGAGGGGCATGTCCAACCTAAAAATTCCTTAGCAGCCCTGTGACCTGTTCCAGTTTATCTTCAGAAAGGATTTGAGGCCTCTCCGTCTTAGAATAACACAACAGGAACTGAACTATAACGTACGCTTCACCTAGGATCGCCCACCTTGCGCGTGAACCTGGGCTGCTGGATAAACCGAGTGACCAGTCTGTGTCTCCTTGGATTTCTCCTCTGTCCTACAAACGGCATTCCAATAACTCTGTGTGCGGCCTTCTTTGGACACAGACATCTGAATGGTTGTTGTCCTGACTCAATCCACCGACCATTAGACATCCGCTAGGAGGAAGCTACCAGCAAGGGTCTCCAATGAAA